GGTGTCTGGAGCAATGGGAACAGATGATAACTCTCTTTTCCAGTTGTGGCAGCCAACGACCTGAAGTGGCAGACGTCTGGCATGTTCCGTCCGTTTGTTGAAATCACCATGATTGGGCCCCATCAGAGTGACAAGAAGCGGAAGTTCACAACCAAGTCAAAGAGCAACAACTGGGCTCCAAAATACAATGAAACCTTTCACTTGTAAGTGTGAAAAATAGCCTAGGGATCTGGCGTGGCAAGTGCAGATGCAGAGGGCAGATAGGGTTTTTCAGTGTCCACAAACAGCCTGCTCAGGGCCCAGAAGAGTGTGTGAACCAGTAGCTTGGCCCCGTGCCTGGTTCCTTGGCAGGAAACCCCAGATCATGGGAATTTTTGCTGCAGGTGGGATGCTGAGGTCTGTTCTGTACCAGCAGAGCCCTTTAGCTACCTTCTGAAATGCACTGCGTGTCCTATGACCGTATTTTACTCTGTCATTTTAATGAACTTTGTATCTTTTACTGGTAGAGTTGATGCTAAAAGTTCATTAAATGTTTTTCATTCTTTTAATCTTAGTGTGCGTTTTTATCCCTATTTGACCTGTGGGACATGCCTTCTGAACTTGTTTCCAAGGATACAGCCTTTGGAACTCATACTTGCACTGCTAAAATTGCAGTGTTTCTCAACGTAGAGTATTGATCTCTTTCTATTTGGCTTTCTTTCATTATTACAAAGACACATTCCTTCTTTAAAGGCTCAACAAAGGGAGCTGCAGGCTAGTGCTCACTCAGCTATACATGTAAAAATGAGTGGAGCAGAGCTGACCAGCAAAAGGCTGTGGAAATCCGGGGGAGAGGGAATGTTCGTATAATTTTTCTATTCTGTGGGAAAAGGCATGCTTCCTCTAAGTGTAGAGATTTTGTTCCCTTCATTCTTTTAATTTTAGAAACATCAGAAGGGTAGGGGATTTATTTTTATTAGCTTTTGCTCTAATGGAAGAGTTTGAATCTTTAACAAAGACCTTATCTAATTAAAATAGTAATTCTGAAATGAAGCAACCCTTAACAGAAGCAGAAAAGCTTAAAGTCTTCTGAGCTGAAAATCTATTAGCATGGCTTTAACGTTCCGTCTTCCTCTCATTTCACAGTTTAACACACACACACATGTTGCAAGGGCAACTTGATAAGGGTTGTTGTTGTTTTTTTTTTTTAAATAACCAGATTGTCTTATCTGCTACAAATCAGCAAAAATGCTCACATGCTGTAAGTTTTACTTCTCCCTCTCTGACCAGAGTTTTCTGTAGAAATGAGTTTCCGTGGCTGATACCTTTATTTTGCAGAGGAATTTATACACTTTAGAAACTGTAATTTGTGTATGTTTTTCAGCATCCTGGGGAACGAAGACGGCCCCGATGCCTACGAGCTCCAAGTCTGTGTGAAGGATTACTGCTTTGCTCGGGAGGACCGGGTACTGGGGATAGCAGTGATGCAGCTCAGAGACATAGCAGACAAAGGAAGCTGTGCTTGCTGGTGCCCCCTCGGGCGCAGGATTCACATGGATGAGACTGGACTTACAATCCTGAGGATTCTCTCTCAGAGAACCAATGATGAAGTTGCCAGAGAATTTGTAAAGTTGAAATCTGAGTCCCGCTCCACAGAGGAAGGCACCTGAGCTGAGCTGTGTAATGTTCCCTTTTCTCTTCTGCCTTGTGCCAATATGTGCAAGTGTTCAACAATTCTTTTTATTAATTGCAAAAGGTTTTTTTTCATGTTGTCTTTGTCAGCTCCGATAGCGCACGTGTGCTGTATAGGAAACAAATCCATCAATCTGATGTGAACTATTTATTTTTTAGTAGCTGGGTAAGACACCATAGAGAATGAGACAATCTCTTCTTATTTAAGATGCAAATTCTGCTTTGTGTATATAAATTATTTTATATTGGAGGCTGGAGTTGCTGGGTTTTGTTGATATGCAGCACTGTGATTTTATCCTCTGAAGTTGGCAGGCATTAAAAAGGTTCTACATAATCTCACTACGATGCAAACACACAACTGTGTGGAAATTGGGAGGAGATGATTTGGGGGTTTGACAAAGCACAGTTATCTCTCATTGAATTCATGTACTGTGGAGCTGCCTGGGGATCTTCTGTCACAGATTATGCCAACATGATATGCAGACACCTCAACATCTGCTTAAAAAAGGAGGTGGCAGACCACTCTGGAGATGCACCCTGGATGAATGCATGTCCACGGGTGTGCTGCTGCGAGCATGGGAGATGAGTGCAGAGGGGCCTAAGATCTCATAGCCAAAAGCTGCGAAGGCAACACACCGGGAGCTGGCGGCAGCTGCCCTGCCATTGTAATTAGATAGTGTGTCTCGGAGAACACAAATCCCCGCGTGCTGCCGGGAATCCCACGCCGCTGGGGGGGTACTGTGAGCTGCTCAGCTCCGCCAGGCACACTCCGGCTACCGTGACCAACACGGTAAGGAAGGGATCAACATTAGAGCCGTAGAGTTAGAGCCGTGGCAAATTACATGGCTGCTATGTACTTTTTTCTCCACTTCAATATTCTTTTGTTAGTTTTTGACAGAGGATTGGATAATTTCATACTTGCAGGCTTTCTGTAGCATTTTGTTACCCTGGAGTAGCTGAGACCATTCCTCACTATGAACCCAGAAACGATGGCTTGCCTGGGAGAGAGGAAGAAGCCTCCCCTCTGCAAGCCCTCAGTCTGGAGTGCTGGTCAAGGGGCAGCACTTTCATGTGGTTCTGATCTTGAAGATTCTGTGATTGATCCACGCTGATTGTCATTAATCTTACGATACCATTGATGATACCATTGAAATATTTTTGCACTGTCTTAAAGAAGCATCCTGCTTTTGTTTTCTTGCAAAACAAAACACTGTCCTGAGCGAGGTAATTGCAGGGAGGTCAGAATTTCTGACTGAAAATTCGTAAGCAGGAAGGTCTGGATTGGTGATTGCACCTGAGGTATGTTTGTTGGAGGGTTTTTATTGGGGATATTTTTGCTTTTCCAGCTGCCCTTGTGCTCTGGAAAGTGCAGCTGGAACAAGCCAGTCCTTGCCCATAAAGTACTGTAATACTGTCAATAAATTCAAGGACTGCAATTGAATGACTTTTTTTTTCCTTTCTATTTTCTCTGATACTTGTACAGCTGTATGATGTGACTCTTGTATTTCATAGGCCTGCTTGTAGAGTTCTGAGACAGCACATCTGCTTTGTTCTTGTCCAAGGTGTGTTATAATAATGCTCTTCAAAACTCCACGCTATTTGTCACGATTTTGAATCACTGTATGTGCCATTGTTATGAGAACTGTTAGTATGGTCTTTAATAAACTCTTTTAGCAGCATTTGGAGTCATCTATGGAAGTGTAACTGTAATTGGGTTTGCTAAACCATGGGGGTAAGAATCAGTACTGCATCTCTGTAAATCTGGTTTAGCACATAGATTTTTTTGCTGCTGTAGATACCCAGCAAAGTCCCCCCGCCTCAATGGTGCCTCTATCTAGGACATCTTTCCCTGAAGTCCTTGGCTTCTGATAACACACTGAGACATCACAGAAAAGCATAGAGAATAGCTTAGCTCCTTTTTTTTTCTCCTGTCTGGCCTTTAAGTCACATTCCTTTGTACTCACATGGTCTCATGAAGGTGCTGAGTGGAAAGACTCAGACAGGCAGGCAGATACTTTACAGATAAAATGTGAAGAAAAATAATTATGTAACCAACTTGATTCATAACTTTCAGCCTCATATGATCATTAATGCTCTGTAAATTGTATTGACAAGAGATGAAAGAATAAGCCTTCTTGATGTCAAGTAAACTACTCCCTCTCCTCAGTTTTTGGGGATTCTGCCAATTTCCAGGAGACAAGGTCAAATAACTCAGAGACTCATATTTCATGATAACATGGGTCTCTGAATTTCTGTGATCTGAGATGCCATTTTTTCCTTGGGTAACATATGCTCAGCAACAAGGTCCCTTGGGAGGCAGTCCTAAAGGGCTGATGAACCCAGGAAGGCTGGATATTCTTCAAGAAGTAAATCTTAAAGGCACAGGAGCAGGGCATCACCATGGGCCAGAAGATGAGCCAGCGGGTAAGAAGACTGGTGTGGCTGAACAGAGAGCTTTGTCTGGAAGCTGGGTAAGAAAGGAGAGTTTATGACCTGTGGAAGAAGGGGCAACCTGGGAGGACTACAAGGATGTTGGGGGATTATGCAGGAAGAACACTGAAAGGGCCAAAGCCCAACTAGAACTTAACATGGCTACTGCCATGTTAAAACAGTAAAAACTGTTTCTATAAATACCTCAGCAACAAAATGAGGGCTAAGGACAATCTTCATCCTATGTTGGATGTGGTGAGAAGGATAGTGACAAAGGAGGAGGAAAAGGCTGAAGTACTTAATGCCACCTTAATGCCTCAGTTTGGAGTAGCAAGACCCGTTGTTCTCAGGATACCTGGGCCTGTAAGCTGGACAACAGGGATAGAGTGCAGAATGAAGCCCCCATGATCCAAGGGGAAATGATCAGGGAAATGACCTGCTATACCACTCAGAGACCCACAGGTCTATGGGGCCAGATGGGATCCACCTAAGAGCACTGAGGGAGTGGTAGAAGTGCTCAACAAGCCACTTTCTGTCATTTATCATTTCCCCTGGCTCACTCCATCCCAGCTGATTGGAGGTTGGCAAACTTGATGCCCATCTACAAGTAGGGCTGGAAGAAGGATCCAGGGAACTCCAGGCCTGGCAGCCTGAGCTCATGGAGCAGAGCATACTGATTGCCATCACGCAGCATGTGCAGGACAACCAGCAGATCTGGCACTTCAGCAAAGCCTTTTACACTGTCTACCACAGCATTCTCCTAGAGAAACTGGCTGTGCATAGCTTGGGGGTGTGCACTGTTCACTGGGTAAAACCTAGCTGGATGGCCAGGCCCAGAGAGTAGTGGTGAAAGGTGGTGTATCCAGCTGTCAGCCGGTCACCAGTGGGTCCCCTGGGGATCAGGACTGGGCCCAGTCCTGTTTTATATCTTTATCGATGTTCTTGATGAGGGGATCAAGTGCGCCCTCAGTCATTTCACAGATGACACCAAGGTGGGTGGGAAGGTAGGAAGGCTCTAAAGAGGTGTCTGGACAGGCTGGATTGATGGGCTGAGGCCCACTGTGTGAGGTTTCAGAGGCCCAAGTGCCGGGTCCTGCCCTTGGGTCACTACAAACCCCTGCAGTGCTACAGCCCTGGGGCAGAGTGGCTGGAAAACTGCCCAGTGGAAAAGGACCTGGGGGTGCTGGTCCACAATGGCTGAACATGAGCCAGACTGTACTCAGGTGGCCAAGAAGGCCAATGGCACCTGGCCTGTGTAAGCAACAGTGTGGCCAGCAGGACCAGGGCAGTGACCGTCCCCCTGTACTTGGCACTGGTGAGGCCTCACCTCAAATCCTGGGTTCACTACAAGAAAGAGGCTACTCAGCACAAGAAAGACATTGAGGTGCTGGAGCATGTCCAGGGAAGGGCAATGGAGCTGGGGAAGGGTCTGGAGCACAGATCCAGTGGCTGAGGGAGCTGGAGGTGTTTAACCTGGAGAAAGGGAGGCCAGGAGGGACCTTATCGGTCTCTACAATCACATGGCAGGACGCTGTAGCAAGGTGAGGACCAGTCTCTTGTCCCAGGTAACAAGCAACAGGATAAAAGGAAATGGCTTCAGGCTTCCCCAAGGAAGGTTTAACTTGGATATTGGGAAAAGAATTTCTTCACCTAAAGAGCTGTCAAGCACTGGAACAGGTTGTCCAGGAAAGGAGTGGAGTAACCATCCCTGGAGGTTTTAAAAAAATATGTAGATTTGGCACTTGAGGACATGGTTTAATGGTGGAGTTGACAGTGTTGGGTTAATGGTTGGACTTGATGATCTTAGAGGTTTTTTCCAACTTAGATGATCTATAGTTCTACATTTCAATGCAAGTAACTTGGCTAATTTGAATGAAACTCAAAGTCCTGGCTTCATCATGGGGAAGTTGCTGAATTTTATGGCCTATCCTATGTGATGTGTTGTTTAAAGCCTAACTCTTAAGCGCCACTTCAGTACCAAGCCAGATGGTTCACAGGTTTCTAACTCACTGGTATCCTGCTTGTCATCACTTCAGCAGGTGCTGCAGTGGAGAAAAACCAATAAAGAGCAATTCAAAGGAAAAGTGCTGTCTGTAACCATGGGGAAGAGGACTGGGCAGGGCAAGAGGTGACTGTAAGAGCCAGGAACCCAAAGCTCCCAAAGGTATCCACTAGTCTAGCACTTCTCCTGCCATCCAGGTTTGTGAACTTTTTAATCACAGAATCAGTTTCCAGAAGTGTTGCGTTTTAACCTGTTCATCCAAACCTGTTTGCACATCTTGTCTCATTTCTTGAGTTTACAGTAACTGTGATGCTTTGAAATATTTTTTTCTGCCTGAAAAATGTTTCATATCCAAGCAACAAACACTCAGGCTTCTGCTTGTACCTATGGCAACACTAGTGTGGTGTGCATGTGGCTTGCTTCATTCTGTCTAAACACTCCTCAAAATGACAGCTGGGCATAGGATATACACTGTAGGTATCAAATATATATATATTTAGAAATGAATTAATAAACAGGATACATATTTTATAAATATCTATATGCTGGTGTACCTGGGGTGGGCATGGCTATCCTAAGTTGGAAAAGACTCTTCCAAGTACATTGTGGCAAATATGACAAGGAATAGGGAGTGGTAAGTTGCCTGCTGCCCCATCCAGGAGTTATCTGTGGAATGAAGTGACACTAACTTATAGTTGGACAGGAGGGAAGTGAGAGATGAGCTGGATGCTAAAGGCAGGCAGATGAATTCTGCTGATGGTCTAACTGCTCTTGCCCAGGGGTTTTCTGTGGGGCCTGTGGGAATAGCAGACTGGTTTCAGACCAAGGGTCCATCTTGCCCAAATCTTGCCTCCAAGAGTGGTTACAAGCAGGTGCCCAGAGAAGAGCAAGAACAAGTTAAATTAATGATGCTTCCTTCTGGTGCTCCTTATGGGGCTGATAATTTTTAACCTGGGAGACGTTCCTGACTCCATGACTTCTCTTTAACAAATTCTAAACTATCCTTCTCCTATCCCTCTCTGAACCCTGAAAAGCAGTTCCATGGATTTACAAGTTCTTGAATAAGACCTATCTTATTTTGAACCTGGTTCCAACTAATTAATTGGATACCCTCCATTCTTTTTTCCACAAAGATGCTCAAGTGCTGGTCCTAGCCACACTCTCCTGGGCAATGAAGATATTGTAGACCTCTATCACATCCCACCCTAGTCATTGCTCTTGGGGTGACAGTGTTCCAGTTTATTCAGTTTCCCCTGACCTTTGATAATCTTTGCCCTTCTTTGCACCTTTCTCATTTAAGTGGATCATTTCTGACCTGTGGCAGCCAGGAATATGAGGACCAGAACAGCACCCAGCATGCAAAATGTGGGCAAGCTTCCAGAAGAAAGCCTTTTGAGGATAACAGTTTGCTCCTAATCTCAAAGAAGTTTTTCAGGCTGCCAGCAGAATATGCCACCAGATCTTTCCGTTGACATGGAGACCTTTTGCAGAACCCCAAAAAGGGAAATTCAAGAGGTTGCTGCAACTTGGGAAGTCAACCTGAGAAAGAAAGAAGTCACACTGATGAGATCTAGTGGATGGTTGAGACCTTTTGACAATCTTTTGATTTTTAGACTTTGTCTTAAAATATTGGATAATTTTATATGAATAGAGAGAAGGAAATCAAGCCTGGCTTTTGGACTTCAGAAACTTTTTGATCTTTGGGAAATCACCTTCTAAAACTGTAGCCAACTCAGTTCTGTGACACCATGAAAAATTTGCTGGAGGAGTGAGATAGCCAGCCTCAAAGGGATGATGTGTGCTTGTCATCACGTGATGGGGATGAAAGGTCCTTATGGGAAATTATGTGTTTCTGGGAGTGTGACAGGCAAGAGCAGAGACCCAAGGGCAGGATTGGGAAGGGTCGTTTATCAGCCTTTCCTGGAAGAGATTAGCAAGTTGATGGATGGAGATGAGAGGACTAGGAGGAGAAATTGGAGGGTCTGGGGAGTGACTAGCACAGACTGAGAAGGCAGACAGCACTTCAAGCATGGTATTCAGTTTCTCTTTTTCTGGGTAGCAGCAGGGAGGGAGTAGGCAGTGTAGTGGCTGTGAAGGAGGTCAGGCTGCTTGTGGGATTTCCTCCAGACATGTCATCTTCCTCCTTTTCTGCTCTTATGCTCTCATTTCCTCCCTTCTAGAAAAAACTCTGGACATGGGTCTGTGAACATTTGCAATAGGCTAATGAGGCTGGCAGTATTCCCTAATGCTTGGTGGAACATAAACTCTAGGTCTGAGCTCTCCCTGGGGGTTGTGGAATGCAAACCCCCAGACTCTTCTTTTAAACCAGGAGTGTGGAAGCTGGAGGAATTTTTTCAGGATGTCAGTTCTCTGATACTTTATCTTCTCAAATGCTGCCTGTGATTTATAGCCAATCTAGAAATAATTATTTTTGCAACAGTGTTGTTTATGATGGTAAAGTCTCCAGGTGGTTGGACAACACTGCCATCTCCACTAAACTTTATTCTGCTACCTCAGACAGGGGATGGGTTTTTGCTCTTAAGCAATGCTTTCCATTTCCAGTCATATGTGCGTAACTTCTTTGTGTTTCTCTGGTATCACCTTCCCTTGGCTTTAAGCACCTCTCATTATCAGTCCCCGTCTTTGTGGGCTTCTCATATTTCTCAGCCCATTTCAATTGTGTTGCTTCACAGTCCTTTCTCCAGCCCCAGTCTCTTCCAGTTTCACCAAGAGTTCCCATCTGACACTGTATGCAATGGGTATTTCTTTGAGTCCTCCTAGATTTGAGCTGCCAGATTTGTACCTAGAAATTAAGTTTGCCCACCCACAGTCTGTGGCAAGATTCCACTGGTTCACAAAAGACACTGAATGCCTCTTGTTATCATGCATTTAGTCCTGCAAGTGGCCACTGCTCCCCATGTCATCTCAGAAGCAATGGAGCCACCTTACAGAAATGTGTACCTTGAGCAGGTTAGAGTTGGGAAATCCCTGATCAGAGCCAGGGTCTGCATGTTCTAGCTCTGCCATATTCACATTACATCTTGTCTCTCCTTACATCCTTCCTTTTACTATTCTTCAAGACTCCTTCTAAAGCCTTGAATGCTGTTCAGGTCAACCACAAAAGTCTGAAGTCACTTGGATATGGCATATATTTTGGATGTTATTCTCCAGTCACATCATCCCCACCTTCAGAGGTGAATAGATTCTCTCTGCCAAGCCTTCAGTTCCACATTTTGGTGTTACCAGAAGTGTGGCGTGGAACTGATCCTTTCCTGGATATCGGAGTAGTTTGAGCCCTCTGAACTTCTAGTGACCATAGCTCAGCATATTCTGTTTCCTTGTTTTCTGTTTCAGGCAGTTTCTTTTTCTATGGGTGGTTCCTGTGAGGCCAAGTTCTTCTTTTGTGGGATTTTTTCCATCTACCTCTTCTTTACTACCTTCTTCCTGACACAAAGTATATGGCAGAAGGGACCCCAGGCTGTCCCTCAGTCACCCATGCCCACAAAATAGGCTTTAGACTCAACATATAAACTATGAGTAACTATTCACTGGACAATAGTGCTTTTATAAGTTGTTCTTTCTAGTACTTTTGCTGCTTATTGGAACTAAACCCAGAATAACACCTCCTTTTATCATCTCTGTGACTGTGTGCTGACAAAACCTGTCAGCTGTCACATCTGGAAGTACCATTACTGATAGAAGCTATTCACCAGTTGCTGAGATGCTGTTTTCCTGTAATGGTAACTGTCATCTGAAAGAATTTTCATCTACTTGCCATAATTCAAATACTGTGGGAATACCACCCCTGTGAACAAACCTATGAGGAAGTAGATTTGAATTAACTGAATTCTGCAAAGAAAGAAGTGCTCTCAGAGCCTGCTGGACATCTTTTTTTTTTTTTTTCCTTTTTCCCCATGCCCCCTCCCTTGAGATGCCCTTTCCCAAGGCTCCCTCATTACCCACTGATGTTTGGCAAACTGAGGAACATAAGCCCTGTCTGTTGACATCTCCAGAAGCAGAAAACACAATTTACTGTGATTTACCTCCTTCCTAATCACAGTTAGAGATGCAGAGAGATGTATCACTTTGGCAGCTGAAAGAGGTGACGAAGTCAAAGAGCCTCCTTTAATTTAAGTTGCTGGTAAACATGGTCAGTTTATCCTTCTTTATAGCACAGCAGCTTGTCAGGCTGCAGATCCTTATTTGGAATTATTTTCAGGCACCTGGACTCAAGCCTAGATCAGGTCATTTGTTTCATCAAAGGAGGAAGTTTCTGAGGATGACCATCACAGATGCAATAAACCCACACAATAGCAACCAAGGTTTTCTCTCAAAGCTTGGCAGCAGCAATAGCTAATTCCCCTGTGTGCATTTGTGTGTCTGGGTGTAGTCTGAAGACATAAATACCCTCTGTGTTTCAGGGAAGTTTTTTGTTCATTTTTGAAACATTTTCCAACAAATATAGATACCCTTAACCCTCCCAACACACTACAGATGTGAAGTCTTTGGGGCATTTGCCTTCTTGTCCCCTTTCTCCCCACTGGAAATAGCAAAAGAGTCATCAGCAGAAGCTGGAGACCATGGCCAGTGCTGGATATTAATCTACTATATTACAGCTGATTTCTTCAAGCTACCCTTTCCTGACAACACCTGATAACTCTACATGAGCAATCTCTGCACATTTTTCTGCAGGGAGGGAGCTTGTACTCCAGACTAGACACTGGAACCAGAAAAAACAGCTGGAGAGCACACTGTTCTTTCACCTGGAGCCCAGATTAACTAAACTCCTACCATTATTCCCCAAATGAAGGACATTGTGAAGGCTTCAAACACCTGGTGTGTGCTGCACGCCATCAAATCCATTCTCCAAAAGTGACCAGTTGTGGAGGAAATGAAAGCAAAATCTTTGCCAGAGAACATTTTGCTTCACAGATCTGTAGACTAGTGACATTATTCCTCTGTTTGGGAGCATTCCTGAAGAAGGAGAAACATGAGACTGACAACTACAGGATGAAAAATCAAACCTCTCCCACCGGATCAACTCACAGTTTCTGCATTTCTGTGCCAGCAGAAGAAAGGATTCCCATGGCCATAAGCCAGCAGGTACAAGCCACACTTCCTTGCAGCCACCTGATAATTGGCATGATGGCACTTGGTGATCACTCCTGCTCTGGTGTGATTTGGTCCCTTTCATAGTAAAAAGATGCCTCTGTAAGCAACATATGACCCTTAAATTTCATAGTTGTAGCGATGCCAGCAAATGCTTTTCTCCACTAAAAATAGAGGCAAACAATATGGAGAATGATGCGTTTTCCATGGGAAGTCTTTTTCCTTTCTGCCCTTGACAAGTAATTTACTGGGTTTCTCTTATATGTCATAAGTTAATACATTTTTTGGTCCAGATAGCCAAGATGAGTTGTGCCTCTGTTCAGACTTTTGATTCTGACATCACTGAAAAAAATCTGCAGGAATTACCTGTGCCATCTGGACTAACTCTAGTAATCAGTCATTTTGCTGAAATTTGAAAATTGATAGCTAATATGCATGAGGCTTGAACCAAAAGGAAATAGGGAAGGGGGCAAGAAGAGAATGTGGCTTAAGGATATCTGCCTTCAGTTTTCTTTGCATGGTGTGGGACAATGAGATGGGAAAAAAAGAAATCTGTTTTGCTTCTTGACATTGATACATTTCAGTATCCAGTGCCTGTCTGGTGCCATCCCTAAACCAGCAATTGCTCACTCTTGGTAATTGCTCACATCTGTTCTGCAGAGCACCATTTTTACTATTTAACAAGCATCAGTAAACCAAGAGTTGATAATGCTGCAGCCAATTTTGTCCACGCCGTGGGTTTCATCTGAGTCATGTAATGTGGTTTCAGAGACTGACAGAAAAGTGCGACTTGGCAGAAAATGCTGCTAGCATGACTTTTAATAAAGGCCATCAACTTCTGCGAGAGAAGAGCCCACCAGTTCTCTCATAGTTTACCACTCCACCATCTGCCCAGTTCACTGCAGACTACTGTGGCCTTTTCCTATGCTCCACCAAAGCAACGGTGACTGCACCATGTCCCATCCCTGGAGGTGTCAAAGGCCTTGCTGGATGGGGCTTTGGGCAACCTGGTCTAGTGTGTGGCATCCCTGCCCGTGGCAGAGGAGCTGAAATGAGATGATCTTTAAAGTCCCTTCCAATCCAAACCATTCTGTGATTCAATGATTCTCCGTGTAACATCTACAAGATTGGAGCCAGGGAAGGACCAGCAGGTCTTTTCACCTAACCTGTGGCATTGCCTAGGCCATAGTGCATCACCCAGTGAACTCTGCATTGAGCTCTGTGGCTTTGGATGTATATGATAACTCTCACAGAAAAATATTCTTTATTTTGCTGCTAAAATTCTAAGAAATGGAGATCAACTGTTGGTGTTTTGTTCTGTTGGTTAATGGTTTAGAAGGATTTAGCTTTCTAAGTTTCATTTACTTGGTTTGGTATTTCCAGACACTTCTTCTTATTGCACATTTGTCATTTTATTACACATCTGTGAGAGCAGGTCAGGTGTTCAGAGGAAGAGAGGATGTGAGCTCTGACTGGGGTGGTCTAGAGGTTTGACTGGTGTGGTCTACCTGCAGTTTTACTGGAACAACGTTAGTTACTGAAATGAATCCACATGCATCAAATCAGTCCAAAACAGAGAGGAAAGAAATGCCAGAAAACAAACCATTGGCAGGTCACAAAATCATAAAATATGCTCAATTGGAAGGGACCTAGAAAGATCACTGAGTCAAACCCTTAGCCCTGCACAGGACCAATCCCCAAGAGTCACACCATGTGCCTGAGAGTATCATCCAAACACTTCTTGAACTCTGTCAGGCTTGGTGCTGTGACCACTTCCCTGGGGAGCCTCTTCCAGTGCTAAACCACCCTCTGGCTGAAAAACCTCTTTCTAATCTAATATCCAAACTAAACATCCCCTGACACAGCTTCAGGCCATTCTCTCAGGTCCTGTCAGTGGTCCCCACAGAGCAGAGATCAGTACCTGCCCCCTACTCTTCCCCTCACGAGGAAGTTGTAACTGCAATGAGATCTCTCCCTCAGTCTTCTCCAGGCTGAACACACCAAGTGCCCTCAGCCGCTCCTCATATGGCTTCCCCTTAAGGCCCCTCACCATCATCATTACCCTCCTTTGGACACTCTCTAATACCTTAATACCTCTCTTATATTGCGGTGAGCAAGACAGTCATGTATTTGGGTATTTCAGAAGTCTCTTGGAAGGATCAGGCAGTATCCTACCCCCCTCCATCCCACTGAATAGCCGGTTAGAAATAACCTAAAACTAAACTTAAGTTTCACTCTCCCACCTTTCCCATGAAGCACCAGCAATTGATCTTACACAGTCCTCCATGGTTTATGGATAGCTCAGATCTTCCCTTTCCTTATATATTTGGTTGGTGCATGCCATGGTTTAGAAATAATATTCTCCAGTTTAGTAGTCCTGCTTAAAACAAACAAACAAACATTCTGCCACCTGCTTCTCCTCCCTCTCCAGCTGGAAGCACAAAAGGCAAAGATCACAGGTTGACACAGGAACGATTTACTTGAAACAGCAATAAAATAAGAAAACAAACAGTGACAGCAGTAATATTAATAACAAAAGGTATCAGACAAATAAACAATTCACAGGGAAAGCCCAAGACAAAATGTCCAACTGGCTCTTCCCCACCACACCGTGCTCTCTCCCGAACAGAAATTACCATCACTCTTCCCAGAAGTCCCTTTTCCATTAGGATTACAGGATGCCTTGGCCACACCCTCTCCTGCTGTGGGCCAGGACCAGGACGGGGCTCAAATGCCCAAGGCTGTACTGGTCAGTGAATTTAGGATCAAGCAGGAATATTCTTCCAGGTCATGCTGACTCGTGATGCAGAGGGTTTCCACTCAGCTCTCCTTCATGGCTTCAAACAACCTTCCAAGCTCCTCCAGCATGTCTGTCTGCTGCAGGTAGAGCTTTTCCAGTGAACAGGCCTTGCCTCTCAGTTAATCCTGTGCCTGCCTGTGGTAAACAGCAGGACAGCCCTCTGAGGCCCGAGCTATTTTTGTCAATTGGTGGTTTGGGCTCTTACCACCTTCTCTTCTACATTTAGCCTGTTCCTCAGAGCATCTGATCCGACCGTAGAGTAGGAAACCCACGCAGAAATTCTCTCATTTCTCCTTTTTCAGGAGTGTTCCGAAAAAAAAAAAAAAACAAACAAAAAAAGTCACTGCTCTACAGATCCATGAAGCGAAACTTCCTGTGGCGGAGACTTGGCTTTCATTTCCTTCATAACTTGTCACTCTCAGAGAATGGATTTGATCTGGGTGGATTTCTCAGCCAGACTGCGCAGATCTCTGGAGGCCCTTAGGGCCCTGTAGCCCCTCCATGTTTGCCACTGGCTGGAGAGAGTGTTTTGCAACTATGTAATAGACCATTTTGTGGAGCTAGAAACACTGATTAATGTCAAGTGGTAGGAGAGGAACCCCCTCTTTTCCCTAGGGCATGACAGCACAAGCGGAATTTCCATATACCTGCTGCACCAGCGTACCCGAGTCCTGCACGTGCGCCTTCAGCCAGGAATATCCTCCACCACTCACTTAAGGTCCTGCCTCTGTCATGATCCTACCTTGGGCAGGGTGATAATACGTAATCTGGGGCTGTGCAGACACATGGGGATGAGATCCTGCAAGTGTTGTGCTTTTACTGGCCCAGTGCCTCTCCAGTCGACCACAGGGCCTGCCAGGTTAATTGCACTGTTTTCCTCTGGAGCTCGGTCTGGCAGGCATATTGCTCCAATGTAGCACAATGAGTTCATTAATAGAGAGCTGGAAACAAAGGCTCATGAGACATGATGAAAATCATGAGAACTCACGATTGTCTGGGAAAAAATATTTTAAATAAAATGTAGCCTTACTACATGCATAAGGTCATTGTTAAAATAGCATTAAGGTGCTATTTTAACAAAAGAATGACTCAAACTTTGGGTAATTTTCATGCTGTCGGGCAAGCTGACTTTTCTGCCTCTTCCTGGCATCATGCGGTGGTGGCACAGACTATGCAGTCACAGTGTGTAGCCCTTGTTGAGTGCTCGGCATTAAAACACCCGCCAGAACTGGAGACACAACTGGAAAGGCAGCTCAAGGAATCACAGGACGGTTAGGGTTGGAAGGGACCTTGAAGACCACCTAATTTCAAGCCCCCTGCCATGGGCAGGGACCCTCCTGCTAGACCATGTTGCTCAGAGTCCCATCCAGCCTGGCCTTGAACACTTCCAGGCATAAGCCTCCACAGCTTCTCTGGGCAATCCTTTCCAGCATGGCAGATTCCCAGTTCCCTCCCAGGTGTGCACGTGGTATGCGTGGAAGACCTTTGTTGTCCTGATCAGTGAATTGGCCCACGAGTGCTGTGCAGCCATCTGGAATGTCCCCAGGGACAAACACTACCCAAGTTTCCTCCCATTTTCTACTGGGCAGGGCATGACCCCCAGCATTGAGAGATTACACGCAAGTGCAAGACCCAGCATTGCAGAAACTGGTATGCAGCCATGATTTATG